GTAGGTAGGTATGCATGTATGTAAGTTATGTATATGTATGTATATGGTAGGTGGGTAGATAAGTAATAAGTAGGTAAGTAAGAAGGTGTGTAAGTGTGTTCGTGTACCTTCAGTGAGCCCTCGGCCGGACAGGTTGAGCTGACCGCTCCCCCTTGCTGCCTTCAGCAGACCGTAGGGGACACTGGGCTCCGGCTCGTCCTTCCTGAAGCCCGCCAGAGAGTCCATGTTGCCCGCTCTTCTGGGTCGAGGCATTGTTGACAACGTGTTCGGAGAAAAACTGACCCGTCCGTTTACCTCCACACCCTAACAGACCTACTTCCGGCCGCCACAGACAACACGACGCTACACTTCCGCCCACAAGCCTTCACATTAAAAGCCTCACATTTATTGATTAAAACCATTGACTGTATATAAAGACTTAAACCAGCACAAAAGTATCTTTAAAATCCATTACCATGCTTTCATACATTCACATACTGAGGAAAACAGATTCTGTGGCTATGTATGGCTATGTATTTCTATTTGTCTATCCATCTGATGGCTTTTATTTAAAAATATTTACTTTAACATGGGGGTCTTGTGTCTGAGTTTTTCATGGTTTATACAATATGAAAAATGAAAAGAGGACCTTTTTTTGTTTTGATTTAAAATATATTTTTTTTACAAAAATGATCCTAAATGTGTTTTATTTATTTATTTATTTAACCTTTATTTAATCAGGATGAGTCCTGTTGCAATTTGCTTTTGAAGGGAGTCATGGCCAAGTCAGGAAGCAATACAAAGTTAATCAGAGATACAACATAAGATTACAACTAAGGTGCAAAACAAACCGCACATCCTACAACACCAGTCAAAAACACTGACAGTTGAGGTTGAGAGGCCAAAAGTAAAATGAAGCCCTCAAAGTCAGATCTAGTGTAATGTAATTTGTTATTGCAATTTGTATTGTACTTAAATGACATTCATTACTTGACTTGTAAGGACACTCATAGCAATAAAATGCTCAAAACTTCAAGTGAAATGAAGTTCTGTGTGTGGTGGTGTGAATTAACACGGCCTAGGTTGGATTATTATATTATCATTTATGGAAACTCACTCCCTCATGTGTATGTAGCATGTAGGCTACTACACTGGAACTCACCGAAACCTGCTGATGAGTCCACATCAGACACAAATAACACACACACACACACACACACAGTTTTCTGCAATAACCTCCCTCTGGACTGTGAACTTTGACCGCGGGTAGAGTTAGGCGTGTCTGTGGTGTGTATGCGTAGGTCCAGTCCTGCTGTACTACCTGTATGTTGAGTCAGCTTGGTGTGTTATATTCAGGATGGATGTGTCTTTCCTTGGGCTGTTTGTGCTGCTGTCTGTTGCCGGCTGCTCGGCTGAACAGGGTAAAGCGTTAATTTTTTTCTCATCTTTCCAAATGTAATGATATGGAGTCACAAGTTTATATAAGTCCCATTGTTATTTTCATTAAGGCAAAATTATGTAATTCTATGTTATAACTTTCAATATTGTTTTGTAAATTACAACTTTTCTGCTGAATATTTTGACTTTATGCACACTTTTTTTTTCTTAGTCTTGTAAACTTAGTCTTGTAAAATCTCAGCTCTCTTCTTAACATTTGCACTGATCCTGGAATTAATAGCAAAATTTGTGTCCCAAGATGAAGAACTCACCTGTTCATCACAACCTTAAGCTTGTCACATTATCCTATTTTTTGTCTCCATAATGGCTCATTATAACTGAAAATAAATTAAAAAGAAATCTCAGCACAAACAAGCAGATCACATGCTGCAGGATAAAAAAACAGATATGGCAGTGCACTCATCATTGTCATTGGCTATCAGCTACACTAATCAGTTCCCACTTAATTGTACCACAAATCAGTTTTAAAATGAGTCATAGCACTTATCTTACTTTTTATGATTGGACTTTATTAATTTGCCTGGACACATGCCATGAGCAAAGAAAGTGATTGGTAAAGAGCAGGTTTAGGCCCCAACACTCTGCAATATTAGATCGTTCCAATATGTCTTTCAGAACATGTGTGTGTGTGTGTGTGTGTGCATTCAGGTGTGCGGCGTGCCATGAAAGCAGCAGCAGGATCCCAGTCAGTGACTCTTCAGCCCTGGCTGGTTGGTCTGTCGGCTGTGGTTGGCTTCCTCTTCATTGTTTTCACCATCCTGATTGTTCGCAGACTACTCAAGAACAGGTCAGTGCACACGCACACACACACACACACACACGTTTGTACAGCTATCTCAGTCAGGACATTCATTGGCATAATGCATACCCCAGCCCCTTACCCTAACATCCAAACCAAATGCCTAACCCTAACCCTTAACCTAACCTAAACCTAATTCTAACCCTAGAACCAGGTCTTGACCCCCAAACAGTCCATTTAAGGGGGGTCACAAAGTAAGGACCAACGAAAGTGTCCTCACTTTGGCAAAAATGTCCTCACTCCATAGGTTAACTGGTCCTCACAAAGATAGCTGTACAAACAAACACACACACACACACACAAAATTCACTTTTCATAACACATGTGGATGCATTTTTAAAGTATATTTTTTGGGCTTTAATGCCTTTAATGGACATGACAGTTGAAGAGAGACAGGAAGCAGGGGGCAGATAGAGGGGGAATGACATACAGTAAAGGGCTGTCTGATGTGGGATTCAAACTGGGGCCCACTGCAGTGAGGACTGTAGCCTCTATACATGGGGGGCTGGCACAACCCACTACGCTAAGGAGAAAAGGAAATATGTCTGCTTTTCAGTGGCTGCACTGAATCTGGTATTAAAATGACAGTGTATCAACCAGAATAGGTTCACACTTATATTTGGTTCACACTTCTGCAACACCTAACTGCCAGCTCAATGTGACTGTAGCTTCTGATTAACAGTGACGTGTCAAAGACCATGGGACTCATTCAACAACAAACCTCTCCTTAACTTTAACCTGCAACAAAGCAACTGACCACAGCAGTTGGGAGTGAATCCTTTACTTAGCTGGTTCACTGATGTCACATATTAATCAACACATAGAGGCATACAACATTCATGTCATGCTTCCTACCTGTTTCAACTTTGTATTTTGGGTCAGGTGATCTATTACTTTACTTAATTAAAGGAACCTACATGAATGTAAACATAGTCCATTATTAGTAATTCCTGCATGAAAAATCCTTCAGAGGTGGAAAGTAATGCCAGTGTTAACTCTTGTTTTGCTTCCAGTGCAAACACATCCTTTCTTCTGCAATTTTTGGATATTAAAATTCTAAGATTTGGAAAATAAAGGCATTCTAGTATGAGCACGCTGAGAAGCAACAGCACAGGTTGCCGCTAATAGCTTGTGGCTTTCAGTGACTACACTTGAACATTTAAATCTGTATTAAAATAAAACCATGTGAGAAGTTTAGAGGGAAGATCATTATTTGGTGGTGTTGTTGACTGACAGACACACCAGAAGCCAAAAGGGTAAGAGACCCCTGGTTTCATATTTGTGTCAAAAGCTTGTCACATGTGTGTAAATTCTTCATCTTAACAGTAAATACTAATCAAAACTGTCTTATAAATGTAGTGTAGTAAAAAGTACAATACTTCCTTTGCTTTGATATGTTACAGAGTGGAAGTATGAAGTGTCACAAATTGAAAATCCCCACATAGAGTACAAGCACTTCAATGTGGAAGTGAAGTACAGTACAACTGGAATTCTGATATTATTGCAGATCCTTCAATCCAATAGAACTCAACCACAAGCAAAGGCCCCAGGTTACAGCCATACAGAGTTGTTCCCAGGCCACTCCTGTGTTATCTTGGCTGTGTGCATAAAGGGTCATGTTGTGTTGGACGGTGACCCTTTGGCCCTGTCCTTAGCAACCAGGCTGTCATTAAGAATATCTCTGTTGTCTGTACTTGGCTCAAATCAGCTTTCCCTCACCCGTTAGTGTCCCTGTTGAAAACACCTCCCACTGTGATGCTGCCACCACCATGCTTCACTGGGGGGATGGTATCATGCAGGTGATAAGCAGTGTGTTGTTAAGTCCTGACATGATGATAAGAAGCCATAAAGTTGCAGTGACGTTAGTCCTTCTGGAAGTTTTTCTCAAAGCATCACTGGAGCTTATAGCCATAGTGAGCATCAGTTACTTAGTCACCTCTCTCACAAAGTCCTTATCCCCTGATAGGTCATTTTGGTTTGGCCAGCTCTATAGGAAGAATCCTGGTTGTTTCAGACTTCATGAATTTAAGAATCACAGAGGCCAATGATCTCTGTGTGACCTTCAATGTGGCAGATGTTTGAAGCCTTCCTCATAATATGTGCCCTCATTCAGTCTTTTACTTTCTTTTTGCTCTGATATGTCAGCTGTGAGACCTTATGTAGACACGTCATTTCAAATCATGCCCAATAAGTTGAATATCCATTATTGTCTTGCATATTTTCCCTCATCACTCCTTGACTATTTCAGATGAAACACGTGAAAAGTAAAACTCTAACCTGTCTCCTTGTTGCTGTCTTGTGTTGCAGGAAGGTGACAGACGGATGGGAATATAACAAGACTTTAGAGCTTGAAGGAGGCAATACTAAACAAACCAGTTTGTGAAAAAATCAAATCAGAGTCACCTGCTCCCCTGTGTCTATCAGTGTTCCTCCCACTGAAGAATATCACTGTTATGTTGTGAAAACATTGTAATGAATTTGTCCAATCATGTTCAGTGAGAGCCATTAGCAATGTCTGGTGTTTTAATTGCATTATATGAAGTGGACTGTGTTGTGTTCATTCCCTCATCTGTCTTTTTTTGTGCTGAAAGTTTTTACTGAAATACCGACAAACAAAAACATACAGAAATACACATTTAAAAAAGCTTCTGTTCCTGTCAACTGTCATAAATGACAACCATCTCAAGGCTTACACCCAAACCGCAGACCATAATCATTTCAATCCATTGTCTAAACCGCAACCTTCTGAGTGAGTGAGCCAGTGCTTTTGGAAAAATGTAACCTATTGACCTCTGCATTGTATCAAACCCAACAGTGTATCCATGCATATAAACTCATGCTGTTCATTTCAAATTTTAGTAGATCTAAAAGTTTCTAAACATTCCCTCTAAGTCAGACTGAATCTTGAGTAAATGTATCAAACGTTGCTAAGGACATTTAGAATATCAGCATTTTTCAGTAATGATGCACACATGACATACATTGACTCTCGTGTTTGAGTCTTTCACTTAGTGAAAGCTGCTGGTCCTGATTCTGTACTGCACATCACATGAATGAGCTGCTCTAGTTTTCTGTCACCACCAGAGGTGCCCATAACACAGATAAACAACAGAGTCTTATCTGCTACCTTTATATCACAGCGCTACAAAGAGCTGTTCAGAAAAGTGACTTATTTAAGGTACATATTAATAAGTGTTATTTTAATTGTTATTGGTTTTGTTGACATTAGTGTATTAGTTCAATCTTGCTCCTGATGTGTCCCTCTTTCCATGATATTAAACCTGGGATCATGAAACATACTGTGATGGACTAATAAAGTTAATCTTAGTTTATTTTTTGTTGTTATCATTTTATTTGTATTTTTTTCTACACATGACTATCTAACCAGGGTTTTTAAAGATAGACAGGTATCTACCACCATACTTGGTGGTAAAGCATTGTCACTTACTCATTTTCTTCATGCAAACTATGACTTTTTGGATTGCCAGCTAAACAAACACCAGCTACCCTCGGAGGTCCAGAGGAGCCCCAAGTTCATTGTGTAGCTGGTTTGAATTTGATCTGTTATTTTTTAAAATATGGATATTTTCAGCACCAAAGCACAATAACCTGACATAATAAGGAGGCTGGCGGTGAGGCCCAGTCTTAGAGGGGTTGCCTGTGTAAACATGAAACTGTGCTACTGTACTCAATGAGCAGCACTGGGCTGAGGTAACAGTCACTATTGCAGGTCATGTGACACCCACTGGCCACCAAATCCCTATTGCTGCACACAATCATTACAAGAAACTGCTGTAAAACATTTTTATTTTTTTATTTTTATCTCCTTTAAAGGTTCACCAGTTATGAATGCTTGAACACACATCAGTATGATTAGGACTACCCAATATAAAAAACATGTACAGTATGTAATTGATGTCTGCAAAAGTCAGTTTCCTATTCACATCAGCAGCTTGTCCCTCCCTTAATGTTGCATCACAGTGACTTTGAGCGGCTGCACAACCCTAAGAACTATAGTTAGTTGGCTTCATCACCATCATAAAATTAATCCTGAGATAGGTTGGCCGAGGAAAGATCCATCTGTTGGATCCTTCGTTGTTCAGGCATGGCCAATGGGCTGCACATTTGAACTAGCTTTAAGCTAAACTCTGGAAAAGTGCCCGGTCCTTTTCAAAATAAATAAATAACTCAGTGCCCTGAGTTGGGACACAACTTATAGTTTTCACATCTATATGTGTTTATATGTTACAAAATCTCAACCATTTGGAAAACATAATTTCCCATCGTACTTCAGGTGGAACAATAGTGATAAAAAACATTTTTCAAATATGTTCTTTTCTCCTGTCATTTATATATATATATATATATATGTATTACCTCTTTATACAGTCAAAAATGTATTAACTCCACCAAGGAAATTATGTTTTGTCTTTCAGGAAAATGACTCAAAAATGACTGAACTGATTTCCATGAAATTTGTGAAGGAGTGGGGCACGACCCAAAGAAGAACCTGACACATTTTGTTATAGACTGGGATTAACTGTTGACAGAGGATTTTCTTTGTCACATTGTTTAACATGGTGAGATAGTGTATTCACCTTGACAGAAGTATGCACTTTTCCAGTGCCCTTCTAGTTTTTATTATCATTAAATTAAAAAATAAAAAGGTCGTTGACTTCACAAATGTAAAGTTGAGCTGTACTATATATTACCACACTATATATTATCTCTATCACTTACTTGCTACCTCTTGCTGTAACTTGGGGAGCTGTTTGCAGTGGTCTTGGAGGAGTAAGGTGCTCTTGACTGTACAGGTATTGATGTACAGCCAAGAGCATTGGTAGTTTGACATTTTACCCTTTAAATATATTTATTTAAAAATGCATAAATGTGCACAAATGTTTGGGGTTCAAAAGTAATTGGAGGGACATGAAGTCCCAAAAAATGATCAAAGACAATATTGTGTAAAATCATTTGCAGTCAGTGTGTAAAGCACTGTATCGCCCACAAAGTTCTCTTTATATCAATGTAATTCAGAATCAGAGTCAGATATACTTCCTCTGCCTTCCCATTTAGTTTCTTGAGCCTCTTGGCTTCAGCTATCCGCAACCTACTTCCCCAGCATACAACAGCACACAGGATATAGCAAAAGCTGCCACAGACTCGTAGAAGCTCAGCATCATCCTACAGATGTTGAAGGACCACCACCTCCTCAGGATGTAGAGACAGCTCTGGCCCTTCTTGTTGACATCGTCAGTGTTCTTGGTCTAATCCAGATTATTGTCAACATACACGACCAGGTACTCGAAAGATTCAACAATGTCCACAGAGAGCCCCTGAATGGTAACAGGGATCACATGTGCCTTGGTCCTGCTCAGATAAAGCTATTTAAATAAAGCAGAGACTTGGCACTTAAATGCCTTATCCAATCTTTTATTTCAAACTGAATGTACAGAGCACAAACTGTCCCAGTATACATTCCTTGACTGCAGTGGGACAAAGTGATATTGGTAAGTACGCTTATACATATGCAGTGTTGTAAAGCTGTCTCAATGTTAACCATGGTAGATGACCATGATTGATCACTTGGCTGCATAGCTTACAAAGTAGACAAAGACAATCATGGCCAAAACGATCAACAATCTGAATTCCATTTTTACATTACCCAATGAATGAATCCAATTTATTCATACTGAAACCAAATGTATATATGGTAAAGAAATGATTCATAAGTCAATGTCATGTTAAACACACATCATATGATCTCAGCTATTTGATAATATGTTTTTTTGAATACTTACATGCAGGCAGTTTTTATAGAATTGTATGTATGTTGAGAGGGCAGCAGAGTAAAGCAGATTTTGAGACCACAGAGTGGAAAACCGTCATTTCTGCTCTGTGGCTCTGCTCAGGGGTTTGGGTTATGGAGTGTGTATGTGTGTATGTGTGTGTGTGTGTATTCTGTCCTGTAATTTTCTCTTTACCTCCTGTTGTTCTTCTGGACCAACACTGTGATTGGCTCGGAGCTCCTGTGTTTAAGCCTGATTGGCTGGATGTTTACACCTCTGAGGGAGGTTAATTGGCAAATTAAATGAGGGGGTGGGAGCCTGGAGTTGACTGAAATACTAATTACAAGACTTGTGTTTATGTACGTGTGTGTGTGTGTGTGTGTGTGTGTGTGTGTGTGTGTGTGTGTGT